GCCTTGGCATCAGTTTCCTCGACTTTAAGATGAGTGGATTCAACTCCATAATCTCCAACATCCCTTCTTGCACTAAATCAAAGGATTCAATGATCCAGTGACCTAACTTCTGTGGATCAAGTCCAGGGTGGTTCCCTGACGCATAAAGATTTGTGTATGTTGGAAAAGTAGACTGGAGGACATTTCAGTTCCTTTTCCCTTCTGTCACTGAAATCCAGTAAATCTTTACTTCTCAGAAGGACAGTTCTTAGGCACAGCCTCTGAACACATGTATTAGTGGATGTTCATGACACTCTGTTTGCTTCCCTGAACTCACAAGTTAGAAGGCCTGTTGAAAAGGCTCTTTCCTCAGGATTCAAAAGAGTACCTTGACACTAGGTGAGAAGGAAAGCATGATGGGGAAAAGTTTAATCTTATAGACTACTAGGTAGGCCTTTTCTACCTCTTCTAACAGTAAAAAAGAGTAGGAAAAATAAAGTTGCAGAGTAAAAAGTTACAAGAAAAGTCCAACCTGAAATACATTTGACAAAACTAGAAAGAAACATCCCCTGATTGAGAAAAGTAGAGAAGGATAAAACCTTAAGAGCATCATTTACCAGGAAAGGAAATGGAATAATCAAAGAAGTCAAAAAGTGGGGGAGGGGGAATATTCACAACAATAAAGAAATATTACAAAATAAAAGAAGCTAAAGAAGAAACACAAGAAGAAAAAAATGAGCATCAACAGTCCCAAGAACTTCTCTAAATCATATAATCATAGCTAGAGAATTAGAAAGGACCACATAGGTTAACTGGTCCAACCCCCTCATTTTATACATGACAAATCGGAGGCCCACTGAGGTTAAACTACTATCCCAAGGCCACAAAGGTAAAAGTCTGAGGTAGGATTTGAACCCAACTTTTGATTTGAACTGACTGCAGTACCACCACTCTTTTTCTATGCCATGTTGCTTCCCTTGCAGAGAACACACTAAATTTGCTAACACGTGAGCAAAAGAAGGAAGTGGTATTGAGGAAGAAAAACATTATGGGACATCAGTAAAGAGAGATTTGTCATCCAAAAAAAGAAAAAAGGAATCACTCAGAATTAATCTAGGGATTTAGTGGTTTACCAATCTAAATCCCAATGGGGGTACTTCATAGAATTAGATAAAACATTGAACAAAGTCATGGAAGGACATGAAAGAACAATTTTTTAAAAATCAAGAGAAATTGGTGAAAAAGAAAACTGTGGAAGGAGATCTCAACTGCTAGATCTCAGATTATTCTACAGTATAGTAATTGTTGAAACTCATACTAGAATTCTAAAAAGAGAGTGATAGATAAAATAATAGATTAGATAATAATTCTTTCTATTACACTGCACTGAAAAATGAATTCCACTTATTGTTACTGTTAAACCCACTCATCCAAATAACCAACACCATCAAAATGGTGGAAAGGGCACCCAGGATTATAGAATCAGAGAATTGTTAAGACCTAGAAATCTTCTGATTCCAATATTCATTTTATAGTCAAGAAAAGTGAGAACTAGAGAGTGTTCATATAGAATCATAGAATGTTAGGGCATAATCTGGCACCTTCATTTTACAAATGAAGCAAATGAAATTCATAGTGATTAATCAATTGGACTGGGACTCAGGTCTAATTCTCTCTATTCAGTGTTCTTTCTGTGATAGCATGGCACCTGATTAGTGGCAGAACCAACACAAGAAGTTTCCTGGCTTCTGGTCTAGTGTTCTTTCTCCATACTCTTCTCCTTTACATAGGACTTTTTTATTCTGTAAGACTTTCCAGGTGTTAACTATTTAATATGTTAAACTCATCCATGCTATTGGGAGAGGGCTAATGGCCTTCTGCAGACAGTATCCCCACCTATGTTGTATGAGCTGTTAATGGCCCTAATAGTTGGAATTCCAAACAGGATTAGTGGAAGGTGATTCTATGGCCAATTGGTAAGGAAAATATTTGGGAGTAGGCTGGACCTTAGAATGGCACCCTTTGAATCATATTAGGGCTATGTCTCTGCTTATACTATTCAGTGTGGGTTTCATATAGCCATATTAGACTATAGGTTGGATCGAAACTATGTTATAGTGTTAGCTCCATGGTCTTAAAATAGGACAATTATGATCTTAGTCTCAAGACTTCCTTCTACTTACTTACCAAGTGCCTTCTGTGTGCTTTTAATTTCCACATGTGAAAGATATTTAGCTCAGTCATTGACTAAGATTCATTATCTCTGAGTCTCAGATTCAGATTCTTCAAAGAGTGTTTAATTTAGGGAAGCCACATGATGTGGTGGAAAGACCACCAGGCTGGCTGGGTCTCATTCTACCTCTACCACTAACTAGCCATGGAACTTGGAACAAGCTGTTGCACCTCTTTAGGACTCATGTATAAAATGTGAGGGGTTTCTTAGATGATCTCAATTCAATTCAATAAACATTTATTAAGAGCCTACTACATGCCAGGCACTGTGCTGAGGTTCCTTTTAGCATTAACATTGCATGAGTCTGTCCTCAAAACTACAGCTGTTCAAAAAATGGAATGGATTCCCTTGGGTGGTAATGAATTCTCTCTGTCACTTGAGATCTTCAAAGGAAGATTGGATGGCTTCTTGAGAAAGTTGTAGATAGAAATATTACTCAGGTATAGGTTGAACTTGATGATCTGTGAGGTTCCTTCCAACTCTGGACTTGGATGATTTTATGAAAATAGCTGCATCCCATTGTTCCTGGGACAAAAATGATTATCATTCTTTAATAATAAGCCTCCAGAGACTCAAATGAACAGAATGAACAAAAACATTAAGCATGCCTTCAAGCAAAAAATGTCTTCCTTAGATTTTTTTTCTCTCTCTCATGAATGCCCTTCAACCTTGTTTTTCAGAAATATTTTGGTCATGGATTTTCTCTGCTTTGGAAAACACTCTCTCTCTCTCTCTCTCTCTCTCTCTCTCTCTCTCTCTCTCTCTCTCTCTCTCTCTCTCTCTCTCATACTCCAACTAGCTCACTGAGTATGATAGAATCATTCCTCCCACCCTGCTGTCCCACTTCTTGTTGGAGATGGATTACAGCTTCTCAGTGCCTTTGGCACTGGGTGTGCTGGAAAATTTTCCGGTTGACACATCTGGCATACTGGCAGGCTCCTTGGGGAGTTATGTTGGTGGTCAGTAATTTCCCCTCGGCTTGTCCTAGAGTTAATCTGCTGGTAAACTGGTGGGCCGGCCTTGGGCCAGGGAAAAACGATTTTCTCCTCTACTAACAGGGTTTCTTTGTTTATAACATAAGTCTTGAACATTTGTGAAGGGGAATAATTGGAGATTGTCAATGAGACACATAGGCCAGGTAAGGAGGGACTAACCCTCTCTTTTACCCAACAAGGGAGCATGGTGGGCTGTGTAAGAGGATAGTATTTCTCTTAAGAGCCAGGCTGAATTCTTCCATACAAAGGATTGACTGACACTTATTGCCTATTTCTTTTCCTCCTTAAAAATACTCTATTTTACAATCTCAGTTCTAGAGAACTGATAATGAAACACATTTCCTTTCTCCTAGTAGGAGGTGGAAAACTATAGATATGAGATGTGCTGTCAACATAGCATATACTATGTTGGTTGGTTTTGTTTATATGTTTTTCTTTGTTATATAAGGAGGGATTGGTGGTGTGCTTAAAAAAATTCTCAGTGGTGCAAAAAAAAAAAAGGCCAAAGGAAAACATATATAGATACCTTATTTTAAAAATATCTACTTAAGGATTCTGGGGCCATGCAAATTTCATGGAGAGGTTTCTGACTTGTTAACATGAAGTAAATAGAGTACTCAAAGAGGCAGCCATCAGGGAGGGCTTTACTCTGGCTTCTTCCCCCCTCCTGCCAATGGTTACCCTCTGGGCCATGAGGTGCACAAGTTAGTTCATAAACCCAACTTTGATCTAGGTTCACTAGTCAGTTAAAAGGAGTGTTTGAAATATTATTCCCCCAGGGAAGTGAGGGTGTGGGCTTCTCTCTATCCACAGCAATGACCTTTCTTCTATTTCCACAGTTACTTGGGCATTCACTGATTTTCATTGCTTTCCAGGCTGTGCTCAAGTGGTTAAAACAATGTGGGGCCTCTTTCTCATTGGATCCAACTGAAAGGCAGTAAATCTCTGAATGCTACACAGGGCCCAGGGGAGCCTCCCTTCTCAGTGCTTCCCTTGGACTGGCATTTTCTGGCTTTTCAAAAGGCTAACACCTTAATTTTTTTATCTTTACAATTCTGGAAAGTAGGTGGGAGAAGATATAATTAGCACCTTTTTATAAATGACTTGCCCAAGGTCACAAAGCCAGAGCCAAGTGTTTTTGTTTTGTTTCTGGATCCTAGGCCTTTTTTTGGAACTACCAAATTCAACCCAAACTGTCAGTCTACATGTAGAACTCTAGCAGAAGCTAAAAACATGATGAAGTTTCTTAGAAGGTATATTAGGATGTAGGGCAGAAGGATGATGGGCTAAACCAGTTCCTGAGTGGCTTGCATACCCCTGGTATTCCAATGTCTAGCCAAGAGTGTTAATTCAGCTTTTATACTCAGGAGTGGAATCTTGGGATTCATAGGAAAGATAATATAGTGGAGGAGAGTGAAGCTAAAATGGAAGTCAAGGGTTAGTTTTGAAGAAATACAGTCACTAAGTTTTTTTTCCAAAGAAGAGGGGAACAAGAAAGGCAACTATCCAAGGAGATTTTTGAGGGCTAGATCACAAGATCATAGATGTAGAGCTGGGAGGGACCTTTGGAGTCATCTGTTTCAACCTCTGCATTTTGTAGATGAGGAAACAAAGGCCCAGAGAACCAAAGTAATTTGCCCAAGGTCACCTGGTTGGCATGGGTCATGATTTGAATCCAGGTTCTTTTTCTCCAAATACAGCACTCTTTCCACTATACCAGTCAATCTTATTTTGAAGCACGGATTCAAATCCTCTAAACATAAGAATATAGTAGATTTTTCATTATTTTGCAGGCATCCTTGGAGCTTCCTCACTGTGAAGGGAGAGCCTTCATCTTCTGTTGAAGACCACGTGGAATATCATGGTAAGTAATGAGACCAGATAGGTAGGTTAGATTGTCTTCCTATCGAGTCTTTATACCCACTTCTTGTAGCTACAAATATGGAAGTTCCACTAGAAAACCATCAATCTTCAGTCTCCTGACTATTGGCTATAGGATTTTATGGGAAAAGGGATGGTGTATAAGAGAATCAAATTGGGGCTGTTTTTGAATGTATGTTGCATTACTGTTACTTTAGTTTAGAGTATAGAATATAAGTCTTCTGAGGGCAGGGACTATTTCATTACTATCTTTGTGAGGAGCTGGGTGACATAGCAGATAGAATATTGTAGTTGGAATCAGAATGACCTAAGTTTGAAATCTGCTGTGGACATTTTTTAATAGAGGCCATCATTTTCCTGATCCAAAGGCTATGTGGGAGCCTTAACAATGTGGAAATTCCAGGCACCATGAGTTGATGCAATGTTTTTGTACAGGAGAGTCTTTGGGCACCCCTCAAATCACACCATGTAGTCAGCTGTCTTCTTGGCCTAATAATGGTTACCCATTATTAGGCCAAAAAGTATCAATGCCTTGATCCATTGCAGTACAATTCAAAATTCTGGTTTCCCAAAGTCAATAGATTTAGAAGAACAATTTCATCATTCTTTATCCCTGTAAGTCAGGGAGTTAAAAACTTTTATCAAGATAAAAGTATTTGCCTGATACTTAGAAGCTCCTTGAAAACAGTATTTTGTCTTTGTATTCCTCCAGTGTTAGAATCAGTTGCAGCATTCATTCATTCAAACAACATTTATTAAAAGTGTCTATTAAGGATGAATACTGCATGCTCTAGATACTTAGGCAGATGCTAAATTTAGATAAGACACTTGCATGTTTCAAACTAGTAACAGAAATAAAGCACAAATACAGATAATTCTAAGACATGTATGTGTTAGAGAAGTAAAAAATGAAATGCTACATGAGGTCCTATGAAAAAAGTCATTACTGATAGGAGGTAAAAGGAGGCTTCACAAAGGAAACGTTTGAGTTGGGCTTTAAAGGATGAAAAGAATTTCAACAGATAAAGAAGAAAGAACATTTATAGCACAGGCAACAGCATAAGCAAAGGGAAGGGGCAGAGCATATATACTGCTCAGTTTGGCCAGAACATACAGTGAATGAAAGGAAGTAATGTGAGACAAGGCTGGAAAGATAGGGTAGTGTCAGGCTTTAGAAGACAGGATACAAGGTAAAAAAAAAAAGTATGAACTTTACTCTGTAGACAGGAGCCATTGAAGGATTTTGAGCAGAGGTGACATGATCCTGTATATGTACAGGGATAAGTCTAGCAGGTGGGGATGGTGAGATATAGCACAGGTGGTGCTTAATAAATGCTTATCAAATACAGGAATGATGTAATCGATGATGCTTCTCAAATGACTAATGACCTTTTGAATCAGATTTTTCATCACTGTTAATGTCATATTCTATTCAATTTCAAAAATCTCAACATTACCAAGCTCTCTTATCCTTTTAACAGGTCACCGAGGCTCGGCTGCAGCCAGAGTTTTTAAATTATTCCGCACTGAAAATGGGGAACATTTCAATGTTTCTTCATCCAGTGAGTGGGTGCAAGGTAAGAAATCTATGTATTTCAGAACTCAGGAAACCCTAGTGGCATCATCTAACCACAGGATGAGCTGTTTTTGCTGTAGCCATGTTTTTCCATTAGATGAAGGACCACAGACTGAGCTTTCTAGTCATTATAAATTTAAAGAGAAACTTTCTTTCACCAACAGAATCATTTCTACTTAAGATCATACTTAACTCCACAGCACAAGTCAATGTTTCCTTCCCTTGCAAAGAATTAAATCTCTCCTTGTTACAATACGCACGAAGTTCTTCCCTTGGCACCTTTTTTTTTCTTCTCTTTCAAATAATAATCAAAACTCTGATTGATAATTCAGTTGAAAATTATTTTAGTTTATAAAGGTCTTTTATAGAAATTTGGGAAACTAGCCAACCAACCAGCTCTTCAAACTGCCATACCAAATGCCCAACCTGTGGGCTTGGGTAGCACCAGGTAGCATTACACTCGTGTATAATATTCACCAAGGAGGTGACGAGCTCAAACAAACACGCTCTAACAGACAGCCCTCAACAAAGCAGTTACTGGATGTTTTAGCATAAAGTTATGGTGAAAGCATTTGTCAGTGCACTGATCAGGCTCGACTTTCACTAAGGGGGTTTTTGCTCTCCAATCTCATTATTCTTTTTCTTGTTTCTAGATGTGGAGTGGACAGAGTGGTTTGACAAGCACGAAGTGACTCCATCGAAAGGTGGGGAGAAAATTTCAGACCTCAGGGCAGCTCATCCAGGAAAAATTTGTATTCGTCCCATTGACATCCAGGTGTGATGATCAGAATAATATTCTATCTTTCCTATAAGAAGAAAATATGTTGAACCACAGTCAGTGGGAGATGTACTCCAAGTGCTTCCAGTGATGCTGAGAATTAATGTGGCATGGTGAAAGGAGACATGAGATCTCATGCTTACATATATGTGTATACCCACACATAGAGAGGATCTGCAATTTCATTAATATGTATGGAACATATATGTGTGTTATATGTACATATTGTATGTACACATATCATATCTGCACCTATGTATGCATGTTATATGTGATATGCAATATATATTTATATGTATATAATGTGGGTATATGTGTGTGTGTGCATACATATCATATGCATGTATGTAAGTAGAGATGAGGAAACTCCTTCTACAAATGCAGTTTAGTCCCTGCTCTGTAACTTAAAGTCCTAGAAAATCACCTAGGGGACTGAGAGTTTAAATGACTTGTTCAGAGTCACATTGCCAGTATGTGTCAGTCATAAATACCTGAACCCAGGTCTTCCTGGCTTCAAGGTCAGCTGTCTATCCAATATGCCAAGCTGCCATATCCATCTATCCATCCATCCACCCATTCATACATACATATATATAAATATACACATTCGTAAATACACACACACACACACACACACACACTTGCACACACACTCACACACATACTGCATTGGCAGAGGGAGTTTCTTCACCTCTACCTACATACATATATATTTGTGTAAACGTATATATGCATATACACATACATATACACAGGCACACAATGTATAATATAGGATATATATTTATTATATATAACATATACATGCCTATATATGTACACATATACATAAATATACACATACATAATAGAATCCTAGTTCTAAAGAGCATAATATATTATCAAATAAGTTCAGAATGAGTTTGTAGAATAAGAGAAGAAACCTGGCCTTTGATTCTGAAAACCTGAGTTTGAATCCTACGTCATTTACTGACTCTAACCATGAGGTACTCATTTAACTTCTCAGAGTCTCCGTATTCTCATCTGTAAAATAATATAATTATGCTATTCTACCTATTCACAAGGTTGCAATGAGGACAGTGCTTAAAACACTATATAATGTGAGTTATTATTGTTGTTATTGTTTTGGGGGAGGAACCAGGTAGATAGGAATAGGGCTGAACATTCAAGAGGAGATGGATGCCTGATGGGAGATAAGTTGGAGAGGCACGTTGACCATAGGTGTATGACAGTAATATCTCTCTAACACTCACTGTACAGTGATGTACATTTAAATTCTGGCCCTAGAGGAAAATATGCGGAAAGAATTCTCTTACCCTTCATTCACTACAAAATAAATTAGTGTCTAATATAAAGAAGGGTCACCTTGCCCTAACACTTTTCATGGCTTCCCTACAAGTATGGGGTGGTATTTATGACTAACATAGCCTTAAGATCTCTCTTTATGCTTTTTGACAGGCTTTCAGAGTTTGAATCTCATTTGACCTCAAATGAATGTGCTTTCCTTTTAAGTGAAGAAGGGGAGAAAAAAAGGCAGACATTCACTGAGTTCAAAATAACCTTTCCCCAAAAGTACGGTCTTATTTTAGATCTAGGTTTGTTACACTTCTCCTTCCTATCCATAGCCCCCCTCCTCCTCCAGCCTTTTAGATTTACATATAAAAGAGTGCAGCAGCTGGCAGACTCTGTTTCAAAATCACCTGCCTAAGATTATCATGGGACTAAATTCAAACACATCTCTCCTTTAGATGCTGATGACTGTGAGTGACCCTACTCACATCCTTCAATCATCGAGCACCTTTATCTTTTGGTTCTATATAGTAGTAATATGACACCGTTCCTCCTCTCCCGGGGATACTAGAAAGAATAGCAAAAATAAACGGTAGTAAATGACTCTTGCACAAAGGACAATTTGACACCTGTGTCTATTTAATGTTCGTAATCTTCCTTTTTTAAATAAGAAAAAACAGGGGTTATGCACAGTAATTTTTATTTTATTCTAGGCCACTACAGTGGATGGAATTAAGTTAACCACAGAGGTTGTCTACAAAAGTGGCCAGGATTACAGGTTTGTGTGCTACAGTAAGAACAAGGCCTGTCAGAATTACCGAGTGAGGTTCCTATGCGGTAAATCCGGTAAGTGGTCTGTTTGGCGAAACTGGGCTTTGGAAGGAAAAAGCCAATTATAGCTCTGTTTCCTACGCTGGCAGTTCTGCGTTGGCAGCTCTCAGGGAGCTGGGGTCAGCCACCTTGACCTCCTCCTAGTGTCAGATGGCCCCTTTTTGTGGCATAGCCTTTGTGACAACACTAGTTGTTTGAGACATCACAGGACAGTGGGAGAGAGCTGGCAGAGCTTTTGAGAACTCCACCCCATCCATACAAGACTTTCAGGAAGGGGAAGGGCCAGGCCCCAAGAAAACCAGGCGTCTGATGTGCAGAAATGACCCTCGTAGCACTAAGATTTCAGAAGCAATCCTATCTTTTGTAGCTTTCATTTCAAACAACACTGCTCCCAAAGGTGATCATTATAAGTGAATTTTAAATGGTTGGTTTGTTAAAAGAGGCACTCAGCATCCTCCAAAAAGCAGTCATTAAGCAAAACATCTCCTTTTGGGGAAGACATTTATTGCTACTGTAAATAACAGTTCAGAGCAACTATATTTTTTTTAAGTCATAGAGCTAAGTGGGTGTGGTGAAATAACCCCACTGAAAGCCACATTTAACTTGAACTTAAGAAGTTAGTGGAAAATTCCCTTGCCAGTAGCTAATGAATGGATCTTTCTTGGTTGGGTTTTTGTTGACTTCACAAAGCCTACACCAAGACCACAATGAGGTGAGCTAGATCATTTTGCTTTGGATTGGCAAACCTGTAATTGTATTGATGGGGTAGGCAGGAAGGTAGGGGGAGAGAATTTTGAGAGGTGACAAAAGAGTTAGCTAAGAATGAAAGACTCGATGATTCTTTTTGGGATTACAGTGAGGCCCAAACTCACCGTCACCATCGACACCAATGTGAACAGCACAATTCTGAGGCTAACAGATAACATTCAGTCATGGAAAACTGGAGACACTTTGGTCATTGCTAGCACAGACTACTCCATGTACCAAGCCGAGGAATTCCAGATACTGCCCTGCAAAACCTGCACAGCCTATGAGGTCAAAGTGGCAGGTAAGTTTCATTTTGGCCCTCTCTGGGCCTGGCTGGAATGAAATATGTAAGGCCTCAAGTTGTCTAAAATTACCCCAAAAATGATGTAGTTGTTTTAGTTTTCCATCACTTTAGAGTTTTCCATCTTCCTTCCTCGGCTTTTACTTCCTAGGCCTGAGTTTGAGTGAGCTGGAATTTATGTTGTGCAATGTTAATTTCTAATAGCGTTGGCCTCAATTCAAATTGTAACCTCACAGAATTTCAAATGAGAACAAACCTTCTTCAAGGGTAATTTCATCTATGTTTTGGGTGAGGAGGTTGAAGCCTAATTTCTGCTAATCACTGCAGAATTGCTCATTTCTGCTCTGCAAGGCTCATGACCCATCTAGAATACAGAGACTGTTTTTTCTTTTTCTTTGAATCTCCAGCACTTAGCACACTGACTGGCAGTAAGAGCTTAGTAAAAGCTCGTTGGTTGACTTTTGGATTGATCAATTAATTGGAGATGGAATAGGACACTAATCAAGTTTGACAGTTGGTTTGGCTATACTGCGTAGAGATCCTTATCTCACTGACTGTGAAAAATCTGAATCCCTCCATTACGGGGAGACTAACAGTCCTTTCTAATTCTCCCTGCCCTCATGAGAGTATTTCATAATATTCTTCTGGATGATATACAGTCATGGTCATTGATGGTTGTCTTTGAGGCCTGGGGAAGAGATTTTGAGCAGCAGATGGATACTAATTAATAATAGCTAGCACTTAACATAGTTCTTTAAATTTTGCAAAAATCTTTGCTTATATAATCTTACTGGATCCTGGCAGCAACCCTGGGAGGAAAGTGCTGTTATTATCCCTATTTAACAGATAAACTGAAGCTGAGACAGGTTAAGTGACTTACCCAGAGTTACCTAGCTAGTAAGTGTCTAAGGCAGGATTTGAGCCTGGATCTTCCTGACTGTAAGTCCACTGTTCTCTCTACTACACCATTCTCAGGATTACAGAGACAGAAGCAGGGTTCTGAAAAACAGCTTATTTTTCCATACATGCCTGATTCATAACCAGGGAGTATTTCTGTCACTGGGATTACTTGGTTCATTGACAATATAGAATTTAAGCACGCAGTCAGACAATAAACCAGACTTCCACTGTGTTAGCATTTCCAGTGGCTGAGAAAAAGGATCAGAAATACAGTAACAAGGGAGCCCTAACAATACACTGCTTCCCACTAACTGTTATCAATCAAGTCAGCATGGCTGATTTCTATCATATGACTAGTTTCCCCTTTAAAAGGCACAAATTTTTAACTTTGCCTACTAAGTCCAATTAATGATATGAAGTTGAAAACCCTGAACCCCCGCAAACCATTTGGAAAAAAATAGTCTAGTCTTTAGTTCATGGCCAAATAAATATCTCTTGAACAAAGTGGAGCCTCTTCCTTTCATGACTCTTCTAAAGTGCAGGGCCTCTTTGGGAACAGCATTTAATTTCCTACCAAAAAAAATATGGAAGCCACCCACTACAACTGAAAAAAAAAAAACAGGATAAAGGGAGGGTGGTTGTGAGAATAAAACTCAAGCATTTTAAAAAAAGATGTGAAGCGTGGGTTCAGGAAAACAGTAACAGGTCACATCATCCTCAGTTCTTGCCCTTCCCTCGGTGTTAATGTTTTCTTTCCAGATTATATGGGTATGACATGGATTAGGCGTGTTTGATGTTTTGTTTGGTTTTGTAGTTGGACTCCATTTATCAGTACAACATAAAATAGGGAGGAGAAGAGGAAGGAAAGAGGGTCTGTGGTGCTAGAGTTAAACAGGATGGGATACAATGAAATCTGTTTCATTAAAGTAAGAAGTAGTAAGCTTTGTGAAGGCTTCCTGTGAAGGTACCAGGAGAACTGACAAGCTCCCCCAAGAGATTGGTTGAAATTCTGTGTAGATACCCTGTTGGTGAAATTCTGTGTAGATACCCTGATGCACTATTAAAGAGAGAAGAATGGATGAGCTGGAGTAATTTCCCTGGGCTATCACATCTTCTTATAGACTTTAGTGACTCATAGGCATCAGGTAAATGGTTTCCCTAAATCTTCTCAGAAACAGGAAATTTAATGACTGTGTAGGATCTTTAGAAAATCACCCAAAGCTTCTATGTCTTGATTTCTTTCTTGGAAGAATAATAATCATTCACTTTTATGGTTACAAAATGCTTCACAGACATCATCTCATTTCATCCTCATGACAACCTAATGACCTGGGTTGGTAGTACAAGAATAATTATCCCCATTTTACAGCTGGGAAATCTGAGGCTCAGATATATGCTTAAGGTCTTCTAAATTCATGTCTTTCTGCTCGCTCTCTCTCTCTCTCTCTCTCTCTCTCTCTCTCTCTCTTCTCTCTCTCTCACACACACACACACACACACACACACGCATTTCTTTTGTGACTCAGAAAAAGATAACACTCATCTCTTTTCAACTTCCTGGCCTCATGAGGATAAATAGAATAATGACTATGATAAACCTCTGTTTCTTTACCGGCCATATTTAGAAGAACATTTGATAAATGAGTTGGATTTTAGGTACAGGATTTTAGAACAATTACCAAAATGTTTGGGGAAAATACCTAGATTATAAGGAAGGTTTACCAATTTTAGTTCCACAGTAGCATCTCTGGAAATTAGATCTAGGGGAGAAAAATGATGAGAAGGTTATAGAACTTGTAGTTTCCCAAAATGCAGTCCATTATTTACACCATGCCCTTTTCCTCTGTCACGGTAATTCTATCAAGCATCACAAATAATCACATTTCTATTACCTTCCTCAAGAGACCATTTTGTTCTCTGACAACATTGGTGATCATTTTAAAAATCCCATTATTCTGAGTGCTGTAATTCTCCCTTGAACTGCCACTCTCTCTGAGACTAAGTGCTGTAAACTGTTCCCATGCCCGTCCCTTCGGTTATCACTTAAGAGCAGCGTGTGTTGATATAGCTGTTTTGGCTGTGGTTCTTTAATCCTGGCTCCCCTTGGAACTCCTGTTTTCCTCCTGTGTCACCTCCAACTGAAGAGTCTCTTGTGATGACTCTGTTGAAAAGGACATTCAACACCGTCCTCTATAGAAGGATGCTCATTGTGCACTTCAGCTTGGAGTGGCATTAATTTTCCCTGGATTTACTAGTTTCCTAACTCACCTCCACATGGTAAGGAAAGTGCTTTCTAAACTTTAAAAAGCTATGTAAATGTGAGTTCATCTTTCAGATGGCCTTTATCTGTTCTGCGTATATCTTCTATGTACCCATTTATTTATGTGTTGTCTCCCTTGTTAGAATATATGCTCCTTGAGGGCAAGAACTTTTTTTTTTGCCTTTCTGTGAATCCCTAGAACTTAGTACAGTTCCTGGCACGTAGTAGGTGCTTAATAAACCATGGTGGACTGAATTAGTTAGAATTGGTTCTGGGAAAAAAAAGAGATGACTTAATGAAGGAGCCAAGGGAAGAACTAAGAGAGATTAGGTCTAGCTCCATTCATACCTCAACAAATACTTGGTGGAAGTTGGAGTGGGGAGATGTGGAAAGGAGATGAGAGCCATGGAAAGACAGGATTTGGAGGCACAAGAGACCCAGATTTGAACCCCTGCTTTACAGCTAGGCGGTACAGTGAGTAGAGCACTGAGCCTGGAAGACCTGAATTCAAATGTGACTTCAGATATTTACTAACTGTGTGATCCATGGACAATTCACTTCACCTCTGCCTGCCTCAGTTTCTCCATCTGAGAAATGGGAGTGATAATAATAGCACCTACCTATTAAGGTTGTTATGAAGATCAAATAAGATTATATTTGTACAATGCCTAGCACAACACCTGGCACACAGTAGATGTTTAATAAATGCTTATTTCCTTCCTTCCAATGTAGTACCTACTTGACCTCAGGTAATTCACCTCACCTCTGTGGGCCTCAACTTCCTCATCTGTAAAATGACAAGGGTGAACTAGATGATCTCTACCATCCCTCCTCACTCTAATATTCTGTTTTGTGTGAACACTGATGAGGTCTCTGGTTTGCTTAACCCAAATTCCCTGGAAGGTTTTGACATTTTTATTGACTTTTCCCATGTTTATTATTATTTTGAGTAGGTCAGCAGCATGACCCTATTATTGTTACTAGGAGTGATGCTCTTAAACCTCCAGTTGGCTGTGTTCCTGCTGCAAGGTCAGAAGCTTCGAGGCACAAATCTTATTCTTCAGTGGACTTGGCAAGGACAGCTGGAAGGGAATAAACAGATCAATCCCTCGATCTATGGGAGAAAAGAACGAGAAAAGGGGGAGTCAGAAATATGTCCCCAGGGAGTTTATACTTTCAGGAGGCCTGAACAACATCCCTGACAGACATTGTAGACATCAATCCTCTTGCTCTTTTCCCCTCTGCTATCATTACACTGAGAGATAGCATGATATAATGGTGAGTCTTGACCAAGAGTCAGAAGACCTGTCATCTAGTCTTGGCTCTGCCACAGCCTCTCTGTGGGACCTCGAAAGGGGCATGCTGGAGCCAAGCTTGAACTGGTTCATAAAAACCCATTGTTAAATTTTCATGGTGAGCTTTTACATTTTGGAAATCAACAAACACTATGAATCTGAATTTGATTTATTATTTTGTTGATTATCTAGACCTAGAAAATGGTGGAGGAAAATGTCGTAATGCAGATTAAACTTAAAAGTGTGTCATGGGTCCTTTTTTTTTGTTAAAGATTTGCAGCACATTCCTGTATTTGACCAAATTATTTAACTGGTTTACGTACTATTACTGCTGGTCCCCTCCATGAACCATAGGTGAGAGGCCCTCTGTTCTATGATGGCAGACAGAACAGTTTATACATGTAACATCATCATTCATGAGGGGCCAGGAGCAAGAGATGGGTCATGTGGAGAGAAAAAAAATCAGCTAGAAAGCAAAAGGGTCAGAGACAAGGAGTATGTCTAGGGTCAGTGACATGAAACCTATTGGATCTAAAACACAAAAA